ATACTAGCAAGAAGATCTAATGCAACAGCGAGACCTCGACACATTATAGAATATTCTCATATATTAGCAAGAAGATCTAAAACAACAGCAAGACCTTATCTCATTATAGAACATTTTACGCATTTTTCGATATTTTTTTTTTTTTAATTTCACTCAAATGTATTTCTAAAATGTACTAATTGTAATTCCTTCAAATACACAGTAAAAAACAAAATTAACCAAATTTATTCTTCTGATTTTTCTTTTCTTTCTTTTAATAGTCCTACACAGAATTTTCCAGAGTATTACTCAGCACACAGAAGCAAAACTAGGTGAGGGGAAAAAACAGGAGCGACGGATCAATTTCTCCCGACCCCCATCCCTGTCGTCCGGGGCAACGGGATTGGGGCGGCAACTCTTTATGTTAATGCCCCGGCGAATGAAAACACAGCATGTATGTATCACAGCCCTCATAAAATCGATACAATCGAATTACTTCCAGATATTCCCCCTTTTCTGACACGACATATTGTGACACTGCTTTAGAATTAAAAAAAAAGAAATGAGCACCGCTCTTTCTCTTGACAAATATGACCCTTCTCAGTCCCCCCTCTTTAGCTGATATCACTCTCGAGAAGGTTGAAGGGTCAAGCATTGTCAAATGCCCCAGTATAATGACGTGTGCACATAACGGACCATCTATTGCTGCAACACCAGTTGAAGAGGGAGAGTATTATGTGATGTTAGGGAACAAAATTATTCTCGATTTTTTTCATCTTTTATTCTATAAGTTTATTGTATAAAAGATTCTATCTGGAAAACTTATGAAGTGACAAAAATGCAAACGATGATTTGCGAATATTTCATTCTCGAGGACAAGGAATTAATGTAGTGTATGGTTGTTTCCATAATAAACAATATTGACTTTTAAAAACAAAATAACAACGCATTATATAACACATAAACAAGATAAATGAACCGTAAAAAATTATGGCAAATAGTACTGGCACTTCGTAAAATCTATTTTTCGTAAAAATTCATTTTTACCGCATAATTTCTTACAATATTTATTTAGATCAGATATCGAAAGATATAGATCAGATTTTTTTTGTTCAGTAAAATTTTTCGGTAAATATAGATTTTACGAAAAAAAGTACGAGCACTCAGGCATCACCTCCTACATCAAGAAGCCTCCACATATGAGTAGTCCGCGCAGACTGTTTAAAAAGTCAGCCAGTTGTGCGCGTGAACCCAAAACCTTTTATAAAAGTAATTGAGAGAAATTTATCTCATATATTTGAGAATTGAATCTGTAGTGGTTGACAAGTGAATAAGGCAAATCAATAATATTCATAAATAAAATAAATTTAAGTCATATATTTGCTACCACTTTCTTATTTTAGCTATATTCTGCATTAAATGACTATCTCCGGTAAAAGAATATCCTTCACAGATCGGACTACCTATAAAAAACCGTGTGGAGATTTTCAGTTATAGGAGGCGTTACTTTTTTACTGTAAAATTATCAGGAATTATTTACTGTGTACTCAAGCCTTCAAAAGTAATTCACAATCTCTATGAAAATGAGCATTTTTTGTTGTTGTTGTGACTGCAAGGAAAAATGTCAACTTTATTAAAAACTAGGAACTATAACAACTATCCGTGATGCATTAAATCAAACTTTTATATTATTTATTGATTTACAAAATTAAATAAAAAAATTAAGTAGCAGAGAATTTATTAAACCAAACATTTTTCCAGCTATTGTAGCTTTGGAAAATACAAACTTTGTGGAAAATAGAATCATTTAAAAATGCGTTTATCATTACTTTTTAAAATATCAGGGTCTTTTCATGAATTTAAAATTTATCGAAACTGGAACCAATTTTCAGGCACCAGAACGTCATGGAATGGAAAGCACCACGAAAGCTTCCTATTTTTACGAATTTAAAAGAAATCAATTTTTATTTTTAATTTAATATTGCCCAAAAATCAAAATAAAAGAAATCAGAAGTATGAACAAAATTTAATGTGCGGACAATTATTAAAGCTAATGTAACATACCTGCTTAATAGCAAACAAACATATGCCTTTTAGTTTTTAAAACGTCGTTGAACAATTTTTTGTTGTTTTAAGTCCTTAACCGAGGGGTGTATTCAAATATCAGATTCATCGCATCACTTTAAATTTTGTTTATTAATTAAATTCATTGAGCTGATGACTCTGACAGAATATGAATTTTCGGATATTATCTAAAAAAAATCTCTTTTTTTTCCCCAACATTTTTCCTTTTCAAAAAGGTTAAATTTTATTAAAAGATTTGCACGATTTATAGCCACCGTGGTGACTGGAATTTGTTGACCTAGATTCTCATTAAAAAAATACAATAATAATGCCAGGACTGCCAACTATTACGCTATTTGCAAACTTCACAGTTTTCAAGATTTTCAGTAATTTTGCCAACATCTTATCCCTTACAGTTCTTAGTGGTGTGCAAAAGAATTAAAAATTAATTAGTTATTTTTCAAATAAAAATTAATTTATTAATTATTATTAAAAAAATTAATTAATTTGCAAATAAAAATAATAAATTAAAAATTAATTAAAATTAATTCATTATTATTAATTTTATTTAAGTAATTTAAATTACTAACAAAACAATAATTTTATTTAGTAATTTTAATTTTAAAAAAACAAAGAATTAAACAGCGAAATATAAATTTAGCTACCAATGGATGAAACTTCTTTTAAAAGCATAGAATATCACCTGCATTACTATTAGCTAGCTTTTGCAACTTGTCTGTACTCATACATTTGGCATGAAAAGCTTATCATCTTCAAAATTTTTAGATAACTAAACATATAGTTATTACAAAACTATAATTGTACTTATAATCATAACAAATGAAAAAATATTTGTATCATTCATACCCCTTCACTTCGAAATGGGAATGACTCATTCCTTATGTGAAGAAAATGGTATCTCTCTAGTGAGGACACAGCATTCCCAAGGAACGCACCCACGCGACATGGACTCCTCCTACAATTATCGATTTCATCCCTGGTATTAGTCCCTTTAAAACAATATGCTTACTGATAGACTGTAAACAGATCTTATTCATTTTAAAGCTCAGGAATTTTGAAACGCGCAGCTGTATAAAACATGCATTTATTTCTAAAGATATTATTTTTTTTTATTAGAAAGTAGGACGAGATATATTTCAAAACGTACAATTTTAAATAAAATGACTATAAATATATATATTTTTTAAAATTGTGGTAGTTGCTACATTTATCATTATATTTTATTGTTTGCGTGTTGTTTACACGTTGTCTAATATGCCTTACACGTATAATTACAGAACATGAAAACTAATTTTTTTTTTTGAATGAGTGGTTGTATAAGATCGATACACACTTTAGCTTGGTAAGCTTAATTACTCCGACGCTGCGAAAGTTGTGAGAATTCACAATGTTATCAAAATAAACATTAATTACATTTGTGGTTTTTTTAAAGCATTAGATAAAGGAAAGATAGAAACATGAATAACATTAAAAAAATACCTCGGAACGCTTTTTATGCCACGCGAAGAATATTTAGCACTGAGAACGAGCTAACTCATCCATTAATTCTTACATATTTGTCCCTAACCCCCATAACGGTTACTAATTATCTTTTGATATAACTAACGTATTTTCGCAAATTAAGATACAACCTTAATGTTTCAAAGGCCATACCTTAATAAGTCAATTAACTTGTTTGGTCAATGTCTTTTAGGATACGAAACTGACACGAAAATTTATTTTTCCTCAATAAACATAACTTCTTTTTAAATTAACGGATTCGGTATTTTGACCTTTGAAATATGGGGGGTCGTGCTTTACTGCAATCAAGAAAATAAAACCCATTACTCATTTGAATATCCACAAGTAATTTCGCTGACAACCGTAAAAGTGGCATGCTGTGTTTGTTTCCTTAACAATTTTATAGTTTTCAGAACAACTGGAACGAAATGGCCTTTACTATCCTTTGTTAGCCTAAGGTCAAACTCCAAACAACAGTGGTTTTGTGTTTATCACCATACAAAATATAGGAGACAAATTGTCGTAGAAGGGGATGCCTTTCAGTAAAACCACTATGGGAACTTAAGTGAAGCGCCTTACTGGGATAATGGTGGAACAAATTTCATGGAAAACATTTTCCGAAAAATGCAGCTGTAAATTTACTTCTACATCTGCCAAGCATTCCAATTTAGCAACACTGAAGACGTTACATAAAATGATTTCCCGAATTTCTTTGTATTTACAAGGATGCAAACTGCTTAGCGTTTAGAAGATCTTTGACGCAAATGGACAGTGTCCCTTTTATCTATTTTTTTTCCGCTGCCCTAATTAGAAGGAAAATATATATCTTGGCTTTTTTTAATTTTAAAAAACCAGTCTAATAGTAACTAAAAAAAAAATTTCTATTAAAACATAAAATCCAAAATAACAATCACTTTACAATTGTTACAACGAAATCGACTTTATTTCCATATTATTTTTTAGTGTAGAAGTATCCAAAAAAAACCTTGAAATTTTTTTCTCCATTCATATTCAAAATTTAATAAATAATTGATTCTGTAAATTGAAAAAATTTCAATGATGAATAACTATTTATCTTAGATCTAAATAACTGCAAATTAGAAAAATTACTGTTTGAAAGTGAACCCAGTTTGGAAGATTTTACCTAATGCGAAAAAGACGCTGTTTCATACTGTATTTCAGAACTTTAAATTAAAATGCTAAATATATTTATAACTTACTTTAAATTAAATTCTTACAAAATAACTAAAAATGTATTTAATAAAACTATTCGTCAAAGGGACCATTTATAATTAAAATTTTGATAAATTTTGCAAATAGGTATCCGAGACTAAACACCGGAGAAATAGCTGAAAATCCGTAGTGTGGGACCTTGGGTGTGTTAATACTTTTGTATACATTTTACAATAATTAAAAAATGCATTTTATCAACTTACCTTTCCAGGTTCTTTTGTAAAATCACAGCCATCGCTATAACCATTCGAACAAGCGTTAAAAACAAGTTGGAGATTTGTACCAGTTGCTATGAATGACTGTAATAAAATGAAACATATAATAGTTAATTTAAAAGAAACACTAAGCAAAAGGTTAAAATAAGAAAGAAGATTACACACTAAGAAAAAGAGAAGAAAGAGTAACTGAATAGATAGTACCCTAATACAAATGAAATTTTAAAAAATTTATTTTGCTACGTTTTAAACATACCATTAGACGATGCAAAAATAGTCTTTAAAACTATTTCGATTTTGTTATAGCTTTCTACATCATGTCATTTCCGTTCGAAATCAATAATCATTGTTTAAAAAAGTTGCAGAAAATTATGTTACACAAACTTACCACTTCCGTGTGTCCATCTCTGCAAGCGGCTTGGAATCGCATTTGCCTTTCTTCTATTGGTCTATCTCTATAGCCCGTATACCGCACCTAGAACAGAAAAATAAATTTAATATCAAATGGCCATAAACCAAGGTTTGCAAAAGTAAGCTCATACCCTAATAAACCCAAAGGCCAACATGAAAAGACCCACCTGTCTCGATTTTTAAAATTATTATTTTCATTCAACAATTTTTCTTTTTATTCGGAGAACGGAGATTTAAATTCAAAATTTGATTGTTGCCATTTTAAGCATGAAACATTTTAATAGCATCGACATCTTACGTCTAAGAGAATTTTGAAATTTTCAACATTTTCTTAAAAATATGTCAACAATTTAAGGTCAGAAACAAAATTTATTGTTGCAATGCTAGGGAAGAAAATTCAAAAGTTTATGTGATCACATGTTCTACCTGGTGTTTTGCACAAACGTTTGCGGGAAAACTATTGTAATTTATTATAGCTTAGCTCTTGAATCGTTGAAAACCATAATGAAACTAAGGATTTTTTGAGAAAAAAATATGAGAACCTAGCGATAAACGAATATTTATGACATTAAAGTTGCAAAAATCTCACAACTTTAGAAAGTTGAAAAACCTTTTAGATAGATTAATTATTATTATTTCATAAATAATTACCATCAATCATTATTATTATTGTATCAGTTCTATATATAAAGAAAATTGATTATTTTTTACATCATAACATCTTTATTCGTTTAAAATACATGATTTCAAAATGAAACCTCAAAACGAAAATTCATTTGCAATTACAATTTTTTTCCCCGAATAGAATTGTAATTAAAAACCGCGTAGCAAAACTAATTTAGAAATGTTACACTTTACTAAACGAGAAATTTTTTGCAATTGAGTTTTTTTAGCAAATTTCTTGACAAAAACTATTTCTGAAAAAATAAAGAAAAAAATCTTAAGTCTTGAAGCAGACTGAAAAGTGTTGATTTTGGAAGAGGTTTAGAGCAAATTTGGGCAAAAACGCCTGATTTTGAGCAGCAATCAATTTAACTGAAATTTATACACAGCGCCTCGAAATTTAATGTTTTCAATCTTATTAACAATAATGCATATTTAAAAATGATGAAAATAATTTAGTTATTTTAAATGACTGAAAGAATTTAGTTTTCACTTCTAATTTTAAATTTGGTATTTGAATAAATTTTAAGACAGCATTTTAGTATTTAAAATTTTATAACAATATTTTTCAACATTCAAAAATTTAATACGTTCTTTAAGTAGTTTTAATATTTTTCTCTTTAAAAATATGTCAAAAAAAGTCCAACTTCAATAAAAAGTTTGAAAAAAATAAAACAGTGTAAAAACATAAATGTTATTATTTAATGAGGTTAATATCCTTTTTTAATATAACGCTGTGAAATTATTTCTGTAAATTCCTAATATTTTTAACAATTACTAATCGTTTGACTATGCTTTTGTAGAGAAAAACCACAGAAAAATATTCGAAACTATAGTAGAGGTATCTCATATTTAACGCAATTACGTTTCTCCCATCCACGTTTTTGGCGTATGTAATTAAATTCAATATCTTAACGATCTCGGCATAAAAGGCAGTTGAACAAATGGCGCCGATACAAAACCGCAAATTCTCATCACCGCTAACCGCAACTTCCTTAATTCCACAGAAAAATCATGAAAGCTTGACCCCGAATGTCACCTCACCTTCACTACACGTAGATCCGAAATAAGAAGATCCTGCACAAACTATTATTTTTTTTAAATATATATTTATGAACATAAAGAAAGATCTTATCTAGAAGTTGGCAGAAGTAAAAAATGACAACTGTCTCCATGAAAAGCTGGCCGCACAACACGATTCAATACTTGGAATGCATTTGATTTTGATACATTGTTCTTCAGTGTAGGAATTTAAAAAATTTCCGGTGCTAAATTTATTTGAATTCGCTTACATTGTTTAAGCTTTAAAAAAAGAGTTTTAACCTACCCGCAATGACTAGAAATAGCATATGCTTAAAAATTGTTTGTCACATAAAGAGTTTTAACCTACTCGCGACGACTAGAAATNTGATGCATACTTTGCTACCACTTTAAATATGAAAATAAAATCTTCCGGAAAATCCGGAAGAGTTGGCAGGTATGCACTTAGAAATTGTTTGTCACATAAAGAGTTTTAACCTATTGGCAACGACTAGAAATAGCATATGTTTAAAAAATTTTGTCACATATAGAGTTTTAACCTACTCGCAATGACAGGAGAGTAAAAACACGTACCTTAAAAATAATACTAAAAATTGACAAACGTGTAATTTTAAATTACCTACTCAAAACCAGAAATCACAATATATTATAGCTCTAAAGTTTCGAGGAAAAAACCATAGAAGTTCTAAAAATTTTCAAACGTCTAATAAAGCCTCCTCTTTATTTTCCACTTTTTTTTAAAAGGATTTGTACTATCAAATATAATCAAAAATTTATTAAATGCAATCAAAAGTTAACCAATATAATTATAAAAAATTTAACCTATAACCTAAGATGGCAAGGGTAGAAGTCTCTTAAAGCACCATTAGAAAATATTATTACATAATCACACTGTTAGAAGCTTTAGAATGCGTTGAACCCTAATATAGTGTAAATTTGATGCAATCTTAATATATTTAATTTGAGCCACACCATCGTGAAAATTAACTCTTTCTGAATTAAATTACATAACGACTTGAAGAAATTTAGCACCTCAATAAATGCAGTAAATACGTACGATGGCATGATGCAACGATTTGTCTGAGAATATATTAAAATTTTACATAAAAATTTTTACAACAATAAAATTGAATCATCTTTGTCTAATTGAAATAAAATTAATTTTCAAAATGTTTCATAAAATATATATGAAATAATAGATTTGATGCACCAAATTTATAACAAACCAAAGATTTCATTTAATCATTAGGTTACGATAAACAGATATTCTATTCATTAGCACATTTCTATTACTTACTAATTGATAAACATATTAGAAACATATGGTTTATAACAGCTATCAGCCACCACACAGACTGTTGAGCTCAAAATGTTTCTTCTTCTGCGAGGCCCGGGTGCCCAATTTTTGTAAATAGAGTAAAGTAAGTAAGGTTTATAGCATTATGCTGATTTAATTTTTATCATTAAGTTACAATGAAGCGATAATTTATTCATCATTATATGCATATTAATTTTTAATCTTTTTGAAGATGATCTCCCACCCCCCNCCCCCCCCCAGTTGCGAATAAAATTAGAAAAGAAATTAGTCAGACGCAGAAATATATTTTTTTAACTTCGCCAGAACTAGATCGTACCATATTTGCCCAAAGATGCCTGTTCCGGATTCGACAAAATATTTTAGAGAACGGCAACGATTAATTTCACCAACTTTTTAAAGGGCTCAACGGTTACAAAGGGGCGTATCACATATGCCGTAAATTTTTTTAGAATTAGTAGTGATCAAAACTACATTTTTTACTATCAGTTTTTTCATTAAATATTAATTTACTGTCTACATCAAATAGGCATCTTAAATTGCCTACTATGCCTATGTGATATGGAAATGTAAGAATCGATAAATCTTAGAATTATTTCCACAAAAAATTACTTTGACTACCACTGGATTTAAATTAATAAAATTTATAAATAATATAGCGTTAGTTAAATTTATTTACTAATTAGAATGGTTTTAAAAACTATTTTAATACCAGTTTAAGGAGAAACACCGAAATTAAAAGCTGGTAGTAAGCTTAAAAATAAAGATTTTTTTTTTTAAAAATCTTAGTACCTTCCAATATTTTTATTTTAAAGATTGAGAGGTTATCAAAGCATAGCAACATACTTTTACCACCACTGTTTATTTATTCAAAATAAATGCAGGACGAATCTCGCTAGTTAAATGATGCCAAAGGGTTAAATAAAATTTATAAATCTAAAAAAAAAAAAGAAAGTATCAATTTTCCTGCCACATTATTAAAATAAAAATTTACACAAAATCCATAAAACTTGGCATTTATGACTGTATCATAATTATTAACTGAAAAATGGTTTCGATGTAAACTAGCACTATATAATCAATCACTAAATGATTGCTCTACTATTAATTGAATATCAAAACATTCTTGCCCATTTGTAATTTGAGGCCAAACATATGAAAAACTTATTTTAAAAATGGCTATGAAATTAAACTTAAACTACGTCGTTATTCAAGTCGGAAAAAAACAAAGTTAATCGAAAAATTGAGCCGAATCACCCCTAGATGCTTTACTTTTCGATGCCGGAAGTAGAAACATTCCCGCGGAATGATGATGATAAATACGCGGCAAAATTCTTTTTCGGCGATCAACGGAATTTATAAACGAACAGCCTTAAAACTGATAGGGTCGTTGGAAAAAACTTTACTAAACCATTTCTCGCCAAAATAGTAAAATAATAATTGGAAGAGAAAACAGTTATTAAATAGTTAACTACCGCGAACTGCACTCAAAATTTTCATAGCTAAAGCTTTGCTAAAAATATCTTTGGCTCATAGCTTTGGCTAAAAATTTTCATAGCGACAGTTGAAAAGCGGAGTAAAAGTTATTAGCAATTTTTTTAAATTTTGTCATCTTTAATAAATACAGGAATGCCAACTGTTCCGCTTTCTGAAAAAGTTTTATTAATTTTGTAGAATAAGGATAATAAAACTTGTAAGAATAAGGACTATTACGCATACTCTTTAAAAGTGTAACCACAATGATAATTGAACTAAATTTACATTTCATATACTTAAAATTTTTGATATGTAGTGGTGGAAAAATCACTTAAAATGAGAAATACTAAACTTAAAAATAACTGAAATTTCGCTACCATTAGAAAACATTTTCGTTTTAAAGCGGCGTAAGTCGGCATCTCTGCAAATATAAAGAATAAATTTCTGAATTATTACATGTTTTTCATATTCTTTATGTCCTAATCCTAGTGTTTTGATTTAATTGGGCACCTGGGCCGCGAAGCGACCTTGTATTCTTTATGTTGAGGTGGTTAAAGTGTTTTACCACTAGAAAATATAGCAAAAATTGGTGAGTATGCCTTGTTGAAAAAGATTGTAGGAAATTATCTCATAATACATTAACAACGTTTGTAGTCCTAGAAAAGTTTTTAAATTGCAAAATAAAAGACAATAAGACGTGTTTACATAAATCTACATTTCCTACCACGTTTAATGCTTCTAAATAAACTAATATAGTTTCAAAAACATCAAGTACATAGTCTTAATTTTAAAAAAGCTAATTTTTTTTAAAAAAAAGACAGCTGGAGCTCTGCTCATTGATGCCCAGTTATAAAAAGTGGCGTATGTATGAAAGAAAACCGCATTCTTTTTAAATCCATAATTGGTATCTCTTTCTATTACTAAAGCTTGAACTCCACTATCTTTTGATCATAATTTCAACATTGATAACATTAATGTATTATGATGGAGAAAACTCGCCTAATGAAATTCGTCTATTCTTCTCTATTTATACTTAGATTTATAAATTACTTTAAGAACAATTTTAACTACCACTACAAATGAATAAATTAAATGTATAAATAAATGCACAATAACCTAATTCTTGATTTGTTCCGTTTTCTAAAAAATTATAATCAGTGTTAATGAACTTTTAGTTTAGTAATTTTAATTTTCACAGTGTCATCTGAAATGCATCTTTTACTACTTAATTAAGAAGTGGATAACTTCAATTAATCATTCAATCGTAACTACCACCATAATTTACATGGTAAATCATATATATATTTAAAGCATATTATAAGTTATATTTTCATAATTCATACTCTAAATTTAAAGTCAGTTGCACTTGTAGCACTATCACATATTAAACTTGCTAAGTTCTAAGAGATACCACCTTGCTCCGGACAGCGAAAAAATATTTTCGAGTGGTAGTTTATTAATTGTGATTCTTCGTTTCATAAATTCAATTTATTGGTTTTTTATCCACCACTATTTCTAAATAATTCGAAGGCTTATATAATTCGCCACTTTTGTAATAGTAATGTCACAATAAACATTTTAAAGGGAAGCAAAATTAGACAAATATTTGTAAATTTACTTTGTAATTATTCACCGTTTTTAAAAATTATTTAGGCACGTCCGGAGCAGTTGGTATCTCTGAGTTCTATATAGTAAACAGAAACAGTAAAAAGTTTTAAGTCTATGTCCTAGCATTCATTCTCAATAGCAAACTGAAAGAAATGTGCTTGAAAAAGTCTCCAATTTTAATCTCGCTTACTATTATTTTTCCGTTTATAAGTAAGTTACTACTACTGACAATTTTAGGAGCCCATGAAAACCCTGTTATTCTCATTTTAGTACCTCTTCAAAGAATCATCTTACGAAAGAGCAAAAGTTAGCAATAACGAACTTTAAAGAGACGAAATTGACAAGAAAACTAGAAATATTTAACATTTGCCTTCAAGGAGAAAATAAAAATCTAAGAAATAAAAATGTTGTCCGCATGCCGACTTCGTCTGTTCTAAAATATTTAAAATGGTAATAAAATTTAATACTTAGGATTCACAATTTTGATTTTCTAAGTTTGATTTCATACTGATTTTGACTAACATTTTCTATAAACTATCTTACACGTGTATATAAGACCTAATATTCATTTAGTTAAGTGTTAATTGACAAATTGATCTAAGACTTTAAGCAAATTAAGTTTAATTAGTTATTTCACTACTTTATATATAAACATGGCAAGAGCTAGGACTTCTTTAAATATTTTAGGTATTTAAAAACAGATTCTTCTCGAATATTTAAATCTATAACGAAATCCATAATTTGACTGTGGTATCACTCTTTCCGAGCTACGAGCTGTGATCGCAACAACTAAAAATAGTCGTAAGAGAATTACAATATTTTTTGCAAAATTTTCAATAAAGTATGATATTTCGGTTATCAGCTAAATTTACAGTTCGGTTATATGTTAATAATTTACGTCTCTTATGCAACAGATTAAAAAAAAGGATTAATTTAGAAACTTAATATTAAAGATTTTGTTATCATCATAGGGCAATTAAATCTCTTTAAATAGACGCTAAAATCATTGCGTAATCGATGGTCGCAGCTTAATACTCAAAATAAAAAAATAGTGAGAGAATTCAGACCTTTTCATTAATTCGTGAAGCAAAAAACGATATATGACCGCTAGAATATGTTAATCTTATAATTAAATATATTGAATTTTAAAATTGACGAGTGCTAACAGAGATGCCCAATGCTCCGGACACGCCAAAATAATTTAACAAACGGTAAATAACTACAACTAAAATTTGCAAATATTTGACTAATTTTGCTTGCTTTTTAAATGGGGTTAGCATAACTTAACTATACCGAAGTGGTGAATTGTATAAGCCTTCGAATTATTTAGAAGTAGTGGTGGATAAAAACTTAATAAATTGAGATTATTAGACCAAGAATCACAATTAATAAACTACCACTCGAAAATATTTATTTGCTGTCCGGAGTAGGTAGGCATCTCTGGTGCTAATAGTAAAAAAAGTATTTTAAAATAAACAGAAAGTAAAAAATTTTATATTCTGCTTCATTTGAAAATAAATTTGAAACCATTTTTTAACTGCGATCACTTCGTAAAAGTGATATTTAGTAGCAACAAGGAAACTGGCTTTTAAAAAAAATATTTAAAAAATTACAGAGCATTCGTACTCAAACAAACTGGATATTATCTATTATTAGCTACCACCTCTAATTTCGAAAAAAAATCATGATAAAATGAGTTCAAATCGTGCTGAGCATATAAATAAAAATCTTTGATAAAAATCTTTGAATAAGGAAGCTCTAGGCACAGAATTGCCAGGAGCACCTTGGTCATAACTTTATGACATGTCTACTCTATGTTTATTATTGTCGTGTCTTTACATTATTTATAGCATAAGTAAATTACAATATGTTACTAAATTTGAGCTTATATATATTACAATTTTGATTAACTCATAATTTGAATAGACAATTCTTGAGGAAAAATAAAACAACAATTTATTTGAAACATTTAGGGAACCGTAGGCCTGGGCATCACCTCCTACATCAAAAAGCCTCCACACGGTCTTCTATAAGTAGTCCGAGCAGACTATTTAAAAAGTGAACCAGTTGTGCGCATGAACCCAAAACCTTTTATAAAAGTAATTGAGAGAAATTTATCATATATATTTGAGAATTAAATCTGTAGTGGTTGACAAGTGAATGAAGCAAACTAATAATATTCATAAATAAAACAAATTTTTAGTTATATATTTGCTACCACTTTCTTATTTTAACTAGATTTTGTATTAAGTGACTAGTTCGGGAAGTGGATATCCTTCACGGTGGTCTGATCGGACTACCTATAAAAAACCGTGTGGAGGCTTTCAGTTATAGGAGGCGTTGGCCTGGGCCTTTCAAGCCTTATCATAAATCATGCACTGTTTATAGTGCTCTCCGCTTAAAGGATGCAAATTGAGGCTTATGTCTGCATACGGCTGTAGTGCGGGTGAAAAAGAAGATTATAGTGGATGCTAAGATTTTTTCTATACAATATAAATGTTAGGAATGAAATGCTATTCTCATAATCTCTCTGGTAAAGAAAATTTCAAAGATACCTACAACCATGTCTAATGAATTAAAAAGTTTGACTAAAAACTTTTTTTAAATTCTTTATAACATATAAATAAAGTTAAAGTACTTATAAAAAATCAATCTAAGTAGTTTGAGTTTTTTTTTCTTTCTTTTAAGTATTGCAAAATTATTGAAAGAGAAATCCATTTAATTGCAGTCTCGTTACCACTTAATATTGTATGATATGAAAACTGGCAACTCTATAATCAAAAACCAGTAACTAGTGTATCAAATCCGGGATAATATAAAAAGTGACTCTTTTTTTTAAAAAATATCCATTATATGTTATGACTCACCGAAAAACCACAAGAAAATATTACGTCAATATGACATCACTAATCAGAGCACAGAATATCAACACATACCTCACTTTCTCTACACAATCTTCTAAAAAGTTCATCTGATTGGAATTTACTTTCTTGATCGGGCACTACACGGGGCATTTTGAACACAAACCTCGGCAACTGTTCAAAAATATTCGTCGTTTCGAACGGCAACATGATGGGATGTTGTGAAAAACACGTGGATGTCAGTTTTACTCCTCTTTCTAAAACACCTTCAAAAACAGACACAAATCCACCCGCTCCGCTGACCAAACAGGATATAAACTACCCAAAAAAACAGCGGTCGAAATCACATTCTGCGGGCAAGATGCTTCCATAATTCCTATTGGTTCTGCTGACTCACCATTCAGGGCCGCCGGAAGCGATGATTTTCCGCTACGTCATAATGTAGGCGGGGACTATTCTTATAAACTGACGTCACACGCGTGGCAATATTTCTGGGAAGGCGTAACCGGCGGGCTTGTTTTGTTTTGTGTTTTGATTTTTCCATCCTTTTCTAGAAGGATGGCTACGATTTTCGTGCGGGGGAATCCGTGTGAGGTAAAGATAAGGATAAGGTGGCATTTGTTATATTTTTTTTGTTGTTGTTTCTTTTGACGTGTTGAGTGGAAGTGACGTGTTGTTTCGTCATCGTATTACCTGCTTTGAGTGTAACGGTGTGTTTCTGTGAATGATTGCGTTTTACTAACAAAACAAGTTCTGTTTCGAGAACTCTGTGCGTAGGATGTAGTAGTAAAATAGTGTTTCGTTTGTTTATTGGGTCATTAATTCTTAGTTCTTCATCACCTCTAGATTACTTAAATTTGTTTGATATTTTAATTTGTCGAAAAACTAATCTCTTCCTTTTATAAGTGCTGTAAAATCTAGATTATATGAACTTCTTTATATAAGTACTTAAGTTTTTTGTTTCTTTTTCCACATCCAAAACTAATTTTTTTTTTCAATTCTAATACCATTTTTTATAAGTAACAAAAAAACGTTTTTTTATTATTTATATTTGTTTATTTATTTTATTATTATTAATTTTCGGTGAAGTTTATTGCTTTGGTTTTACTAAAAATATCTGAAATATGTAAGTTTTCGTCATTTTGTCATAATAACTTCCAATTCTGCTAAAAGGATGTTTGTTTGTTGTACACACTAAAAAAATCTAATGTAAGCGAGCTACAAACTTAAATAGTCACTGGAAAAAAAAAATTTAAAAGTGATAGTAAAATAATAAGTAAAGTAGGAAGGGTTTTCTAAAAATAAAAAAAAATAATAATAAGTAAATTAAAGTCACACTTTAAAAAAGTACCTGCCCATTTATTTATTTATTGGCATTCAAGGCTTATAAGCCTTGTCAGGTTGAAGAACAGATAAATACTTTCCAACAACTAAGGAATTTCTGAAAATATTTTTTTTGATGGTAGCAAATGTAATGTATTAATATTTTAATCAATTAGAATTTTAAAAAATTTGTCCACCACGTATGATTTAGACATGATATTAAATGTTAGGTAACCAGCAGGTTCCATTAAAAAAAAGTTAAAAAAACCCAATAAAAGTTCTGATTTGTTTTGAAAAATTCCGTTTCTGTTCATTATCACTTAACGAAACATTTCGCGCAAAGCCATCACCTCCTACATCAAAAAGCCTCCACACGGTCTTTTATAAGTCGTCCGCGCAGACTATTTAAAACGTGAACCAGTTGTGCGCATGAACCCAAAACCTTTTATAAAAGTAACTGAGAGAAATTCATCATATATATTTGAGAATTGAATCTGTAGTGGTTGACAAGTGAATAAGGCAAACCAATAATATTCATAAATAAAATAAATTTTTAGTCATACATTTGCTACCACTTTCTTATTTTAACTAGATTTTGTATTAAGTGACTCTTTCGGAAAGTGGATATCCTTCATAGTGGTCTGATCGGACTACCTATAAAAAACCGTGTGGAGGCTTTCAGTTACAGGAGGCGTTGGCAAAACTCGAATATTTGCACATTTGAAATAGCGCGAGTTAGAGCAAGACATCATGAAGATACATCCAGGTATACGGCCAACGCCTCCTATAACTGAAAGCCTCCACACGGTTTTTTAATGGTCGTGCGAACAGACCACTGTGAAAAATATCCATTTACCGAGCGTTCTTCGGAAGCTTCATTGCGTACTATTTAGTTTGTGAATCAAATTACAAATTATTGCTATAACTGTTTCCAACAAAACTACTGCAATATGATCATGAGGTTGGGCAAAATTACTAAAAACTAATATGCTATTTCTATGAAAACAATCTTTCTTTTAGCAGCAAATGTTTGGAAGATTTTACTCGGAAAAACAGTTGGCACAATTTGAAAGATCAAACTTGAATCTTTTTCGAATAGGCGTCACTTTTTAAACATGCAATATTCGGATCGACCATAATGAAGAAAGGAAGTTAATTACCTTTTTTTAGCTTTAATACCAGCAATTTTGAAATCAAACTTTAGGATTACGATATATATGTATAAGAATGATTTTAAAGTTACAGTGGTATTTAAAAAAGAGACAAGGTTTTAGCTTCCTACCCTCATATTGGTCGATGCAAGTTTTGCATGGGTAAAAAGGACACCATTTCAAAAAGCTTCAAGTATGATCGTTCAAATGGTACCAATAGTTTTATCACGTAAAACATTCCAAGTCATTTACAGCGAAAAGGAAGATTGTTCACATAAAGATAGCACAGAAATTTTTCCATATTTTTGTCCAAACCCTTCAAATTTTAAGATTTTTGCTATAGTGAGCCATCGTACAAAGTGAACTTATTGTACATGGTTTCGCGAAATATTTACTATCGTGAGGTCAGACTGTAGCATACCCTCCAACTTATGAAGATTTTGAAAATAATTCTTTCTAGTGGTAGCGAACCAAAGTAGAAATTTTTAAAGCAAATGGATCTCTCATAAAACTTTTATCAGAACTTAAGAATCTAGCCATATGGCCTGCACTTTTATAAGTAATAGTGGACAAGTTACGCTAAAATTAATTTTTTTTAAATATTAAGACATTAATTTTGCTACCGTCTGAAAAGAAGATTTCTGACACTACGGAAATTCCGTAGCAGTTGGAGGGTATGCTGTAGTATAATTTTTTTATTTCTTTTTTGTTCTCGGAAGAAGTGAAATATCCCTGACAGCCAATTCCTATTAACAGTTGTGACATACATTTGTAAGTGAAATCTTTTCTGGTAATAATATTTTATGAAATAAAGTTTGTGTGTTTATAATTGGAACGGATATACAGGACGAGAGGAAAAAGGATCAGGAATCAATAAATAAGGAGATCAATAAATAAAATTCAGCATTAAATGCTAAATTTGAAAACAAAAAATTTTGATAATTGAAGAAATAGAAGGTCGGGAGAGCCTGGTTGGTAGGGCACTGGGCCCATTCGTGGGTTCGATCCTCGACGGCCGAAGACTCCCCTTGTAGTAAATGGTGACTGATGCACGTTAAATCTATCGAGTCGCATAGTCCTCCATGTTCCCAGAACAAATCAAAACCTCTGGGGGTACTGATCCAGGAGTTTCCTTGTCTTCTGGATCTGTTCAAAATTACAAGGCTACGGCGTTGAACATTAGTAGTCGTAAACCCAAAATTGGGTCGGCTGTTCAACAACGGTTATAAAATAAAATAAAATCATGACTTTTCAAGGCCGGAATAGCCTGGTTGGTAGGGCACTGGGCCCATTCGTGGGTTCGATCCTCGACGGCCGAAAACTCCCCTTGTAGTAAATGGTGACTGATACACGTTAATTCTGTCGAGTCGCAAAGTCCTCCATGATCCCATAACATATCAATACCTCTAGGGGTATTGATCCAGGAGATTCCCTGTCTTCTGGATCGGTTCAAAATTACAAAGGCTACGGAATTGAACATTAGAAGTCGTAAACCCAAAATTGGGTCTGCTGTTCAACGATGGCTATAAAATTAAATAAAATTGAAGAAGTAACAGAAGTAAATGTTCCCGATGTTGCGAGATCCATATTCAGTTATGTAAGAGATTCCAGTGTCATTTAATCAGGTTGCCATTTTATTTGATAATGTGTGTTATCCTGAAGGAATAACTAATGTCTGAAACAGCGATGTAAAAGTGAAGTGCCTTGGATTTAAACAAAAGGAGGAAAGATTTTAATACTGGAAGATAACTGGAAAAAGAGAGACGAAATATTGTATTGGAAAAAATTGTCCCTGCTCCTTTAAATGTCAGTTTTTTAGAATCCTTAAATTTTATTTCAAAACTACGTGAAAAATACACGAAGGAATAAGTAAATAATAAGCGACTAGGTTATAAGAAGAAATGAAAACCTAATAAGCGATACATAAGAAAGTTTAGGTTTAGTGTTCATTTCTCACAACACTTTATACAAATACATTACTAAGAAACCATGCTTTTTCAGTTTTTATGACATAACGCCTCTGTGTTTTTTCTTTCATAATTGTATCTTTTAATTACAGATAGAGTATATCTCTTTATTTCAGTTTATTTTGAAGGAGGATTCGTATTATATTACCTAGGAGATTCATCGTTACTATCAGAAAAAGGAAGAGGTGATTTCTTACTTAGCATCTATACGCAATTTTAGTAATTTCTTTCTTGAAAATGGGACGAGATCCCATTGATTTTCCTTTTCCAAATGTTTAACCCGTTTTGTCCCGAATATATTGAAATGATACAAAAAGTGGTTTTATGGAAGAAGTGGTGTAATATATTTTCGAAATCAAATGTTTTTCCTACTGTTAGGGCATTCAAAAAGTCTTTGATAGATAAAAAAGAACTTGCTCCTTTTAATTCTAGATCTAGTCAGAAATAACTAAATCATTGTGGTATCTGAGAATCTTTTAATTCACCCAGATAAATTAAAATGCTGAAAAAAGTTTCCCACCACAATGAATGTTTTTGAAAAAAGAAACTGTCCTAAATATATGACGCTGGGCGTTAACCGGTTAACTACTAGCTATACACCAGCTAGTAGTTAACACATTGCTGACCAGTCACGAGTTAACTCGTGTTTTCGTGGCCAAGCGTTGATGACCGGTTACGAGTTAATATGTGTTTTCGTGGCCAAGCGTTGATGGCCGGTTACGAGTTAATATGTGTTTTCGTGGCCAAGCGTTAATGACCGGTTACGAGTTAATTTTCTTTTTCGTGGCCAAGCGTTGATGACCGGTTACGAGTTAATATGTGTTTTCGTGGCCAAGCGTTTTAAAATAGTCTCGTGGTGACCATTTTAAAAAATGGGAGTAATTTTCATTACTTTTCAAGTTTTACTATTTAATTCTCTACCAGTTTATTATAACTTTACGAAACT